TAGAATATAATTAAATTGTCCACAAAATATACCCTGAAGAAACTCGGTGGTCTGTGTTGAAGGAAACAGATCATTTAATTCGCATAGAATAACTCCTTTGTGATTGCTTCTATCGAACTCAGACACAGAAAGTCTTCAAGCACGTTAAAACCAAGATTATCTCATATTCATTCAGTTCCATCCCAAGTATATAATTTTGTAATACATTCTTCATTTTTTCAGAGTTTACGCTTACTTGTAGATTGGGAACACGGATAAAGTTCACGATGAAAATTAAATAATCCGAAAGTACTCTTTACCTTGCCAGCATCTATGTTTCATTTAGAGGTTAATAATATATCTGTGTAGCAGTCCATATATCACCTTGGAGTATAATTCCGGAGTGCATACCATATTAAAGAAGATGCTTTCAGCCAATAAGACTTAACAATCGTTTGAGATGAAATCCATATAATTATGGAAGTGGCATAAAGTAAGGCGAAAGCTGAATTTAGATCCACAGTTAGTTTTTCAGAAATCATTAAAGGAAACGTATTCACATAAAATAAAAGTTTTTATCGATTAGAATTATTCTTCACTGAGTTATGTTAAGAGATGAAATAAGAAGTTCGCATAATCTTAATGCATAAACTGAATTATAATATAAGGAGATTAAAAGGGGAAAAGCTCTAGACTGACTGTAAATTACAAAAGAAATATAGTATTTATTAATTTATATAGATAAATTGACAACATGCTATCATAAATTACATAATTACTATTCTTCATACGATTCCGATGACCATAGTCTAGGCTAACACGAAAAAATGGGCGACAACTCCTGCGAACATTCTAAAAAGGGGACCAAGAATAATGCGCAGGTTCACGGATGTTCATGATTACTGCAAAGTAAGATTATCATCTTGGGTAGAACCGACTTTGCCTACTATCAGATGTTACGCTAACGATCGTCCCGTAATCACAAACCTGCCACGCTGACTGGACAGCCCTTTTTCCTCCGCAAGAAATCAAAGTTGATGCTAAGCATTATACCAATGCAGTCCCAGTGGCTGCTAAAGTCAACAAGATCATGAAACACGGGATCAACTACCACTGAATGAATAGTTGAGATTTTAACTCCCACTAAGTTAGAGAACGCTCCACAGTCGACGTACCGGATGCTACATACATAAATCGGATTTTCCACGCCTTTTGTGTTATGTTCACCCTAATTAAGATCATTCATTGTGGTAGGAAAATATTGTCCCCAATAAACGCTTTAGATCCAAATTATATTTTAGCATTTCGGGGTTTGCAGATATTTGAGTCGCTGTCTCAGAGAAGCTCTTATGGATAAAGAAAAATCGACCATAATAAAAAATCACTTTACGCGTGAATATCTCCCTAGCTCTGTAGTGCTAAAACGCATCGCCTTTTGACACTTTAAACCTCCGTATCACCTAGGCTAGTTGAATACAGTACTGAAAATTACATATGACATTAAAGATTCCATAATTACTCAGTAGTTGAGTACTATCACCATATTATCTCTGATACTAACTGAATAATCGTCAGCATCTACAGAATTCCTATATAATATGGGGTCAGTATCAACTATGTCTCTGATCAGCACAAACATATAGTTCCCGTCGATCTGACAACTTTTGCTCGGTCAGTAAGTCAGCAGGCTTCAAGATTGCGTAATTCTATCCAAAATACTCGTCTGAGTCGCTGATAAAAACAATGCACCGCATCGACGCATTGGACTAAAATCAGAACCTTGGGCGGCGCATTAAATAGATAATTAAAGCAATGTTCATAACACTGAAATTCAGCGAGGATAATTACTTCAATCAAGAAACGTGGAGCTTTAGTGAGTCAAAGAAAAGGGATCAGGGGTTCAGGTGAAAAAGAGTAAAGGAATGTATGATCTTTGCTTGTTTATGGAGATAGCCCATTTATGAGAGAAGTCATATATTAGGTAGAGAACCCGATTAATAGCCAGCTTCCAAAATCATCTGTTGATGCCTCACAAGTTTTATGATTACTGAAGCATGAGGATGTAGAAATGTTTAGGCGGTTTAAGCTTCATTAGTATCCGTCTCAAGTGAATATCTCATCGAATAAAAAGTTTCTCCAAGTTTCTTCTCTTTAACATGTAAATAATCTGAATATAGCTTGCCTGATTGGACACAAAATTTGGTTCCTAAGCACGGCTCCAACACGTCTCTGTTCAGACGCTCAATAGTATGATCACCCGGCTCAATAATATACTTATTTTTGCTTGCGCGTATAAAGAGCAAAATGGCAAGTGAAGCAACTGCAATGGTTGGGGAAGCAAAATCTTTTATCTGCTCAAAGGGCTCAGTTGGTATAAACGTTAGAAGTGGAGATAAAGCGGAAAACCATAAGATAAGCAGTAGTTCCGTAAAAAAAATCAAGGAAAAAAAGGCCATAAAAAATTGAAGAAAATGATAAGAACGGTCTTGGCGAATAAGGATATACTGCAGCGAAAGCTCGAATGCCGCAACTCCAGCCATGTCTCGATCCTTGACGAAATGCTGCATGTGTAACGTGCAACAAAAGTTATCCGTTCCTTATTTTAAGTCTAATTTATAGGCAAAAAACTAACCATATTAAAGAGAAAAGGAAGTAATCAAGGCAAAAGGAAATCAGATAAATTGATTGGGAAAAAATAATGCGGTTATAACTAGAGAAGTTTTTAAATTCCGGAGAAAAAAAGAGTATTAAACCTATAGTCTACATGTTCTCAATGAATAAAATCTGGCGCTACTTTATTGAAACGGTTCATTTTCCCTTGGAGGAAGCCTTTTCGACAAGTGCCTTCTTCTTTATAATTTCAGCTTCTAGAAAACGAAATTTCTCAGCCAGTTCCTCCATTATCGTTCTTATATCCATCTCCGCTGCAAACAAATCATCTGCCTCTTTAGTCATACGCTCATCTTCCATCCGCTCCAGTTCCTCGCGCTTTGTTATACTGTTGTACATTTTGGCAGACCACCTTGACCGCGTGGCAATATTCTTTTCCAAATGTTGCGCTAACTCCTTCTGTGCCTTTAGCTCCAATTCACGACGATGCTGTACCTCCTCCTTGACAAGCAACTTCTTGAGCCCACGCCCCAAATAGTCGGCTGGTTTCTTGCAAGAAATGTTCTCGTGCTGGGGGTTGCATCCAGATAAAAGTAGGGTCGCCACTAGCTCCTCCCACTCTTGGGAATCCGGGCGTTGGTTAATTGCCGCAATGTGGAGCGGATTACACCCATCGGTGTTAACTACGTTGGGGTTGGCACCGGCGCTCAAGAGCATGTTCAAGATGGCAATGTCACATCGAACTACACAAAAGTGGATGCAGGAGTTACCCTTGTTGTCCTGCTTATTACGATTAGCTTTTTGTGAGAGCAGGTACTCGGCCACATCCTTTTGGCCCATCTTGACGGCCACAAGAAGTGGTGTGAGGCCCATGCAATCGACTTCATCTACTTTCGCGCCGTGCTCGACTAACCAGCGAGACACCTGCACATCCCCACCAAAGGCACACTTATGCAGTGCGGAGCTTTTGTTTTTGTCCAATTCATTCACCTTCACAACAGGATCCCCACTATGCTGCAAGAGGATTTCCATGCACTCAACACTTCCACAAGACGCAGCGGTGTGAAACGGGGTCGATAACGTACTGGATTGCAGTGAATCGTCCGCACCATGATCCAAAAGTATTTTACAACATTCGACGTAATTATGAGTGACTGCTTCATGGAGGGGGGTGCGGCCTTGGAAATTTACTGCATTAACATTTCCTTTGAGTGTCTCAAGAACGTACTTGAGCATCGTAGGATCCTTACCAATGGCTAAATGAGCTATAGAGTTGCCGCTCTGGCAGATACATTTTGATACATTTTCAGGGATTGACAAGAAGCTATTCGTTAAAGGTTTTATAGTGTCGATGGAGCCACTCACGACTGCTTCTCGAACTGCATCTAGGAGCGATTTTGGACCCTGAGGACCACCGACAACTCTCAGACCATAGCTTTTATACCTGTCTGTCTTCGCCATCTAAACTCATATATATATATATTTAGTACTGAATGCAAGTAAAATAAAAATGTTCGGGATAAGTCAATCCATGTAATTAATGAATGATAGGCTACAAAAAGAAAATTTAACTTTTAGTGCTTCAATTAAGGCATTCGTCAGGGTGAATAGTAAAATTTATACCCATTAAGGATTTTAAAAAGTCATTATTGTGAACTACGAATTT